CAATTTATGTACATTAGTACTTAAATATCTTATTATTAGATATTAATCAGTATAGAGTAAGAATCAATGCAAGTCCATTAAATATTGTGTTCCAATTCCAAGGCTACGTAATTATTGATGTTTAAATAATTATATGTGATATAAAATTTATGAAATCAATGTCAGAATGAAGATTAATTAGATTTGATTTATGTAGGTGCTTAGAACATATCTTAGTTGCGAATGTAAATTAAAAAAATATGTTTATTTTGCAACATTTTGACATTGATAGCAATATTTAACACGATTTGATGAATCATTAAGCAGTGTGATGATGCCATACAGACGTTACTACCTATGATTATCACACAGATAACGTAAGAGGGGACTAAAGAACCAACATTTTGATTGCACCTGGCTCGTATTAAATTTAAGCTTATTAAAATAATGTGACCTGCGTAATACGGCCAGACCACACATTTTGCCTCAGGTGTAGAGTTTGTCAACTCTTTCCGCTGTTAAGATCACGGTTTGCAAGACTACGAGATTTATATAGCCAAGAAGCACCACTGCACAATGAGTTACGCGCTGTGGACTAAACGCTACGTAGTACGTAGTATGCGCTACGTTACTACGTACTACGGACTACATCCTACGACCTACGTACTACGCGTTACTGCTGTAGTACTTTGCCGCAATTAGGGCTAACAATTTGGCTCTACATGAGACCTCGTGGTACATGCCATTCGCAAATAGGTAAATGCTTTTGATAATGTACAAATAGTAATTAAAACAATATAAGAATATCATTTACGTTCTCGTGACCAGAGGGCTGGTGTTTTTGGTCAGAAGTTAAGCATTGCCATACAACGTGGCAATGCTGCCAGCCTTCTGGGTACTTTCCCTACTGACGTCGATCCGAACGAATTTTTTGATGGTTTGTGTGTATTGTTATTTGTTATTATTTTTAGTTTTCTTTTGTTTAATTTTTATCTTTTTGTATCTTATGTTGTATATATTTAGTAATAGTTAGTATTTATTTTATTTCAGTTTACATTAATTGTAAATAAAAGATTTCTCATTTATTACTACACCATTTGTATGACTTTACCCACATTTTTATTTGCTTACCTATATTATATTGGTACTGTATGTACACTCTAAATTTTTCAGTTTTGTATCAAATACTGTTTCTCAGTCAGCGAATTATTTATGTGATTCTTCAAGAGAAATAAAGATATTCTAAACCTAAACTATTTTACATTTGACACGGAGAAAAATTATTAATTTTATTTCAAGAGATGTCTTTAGTCAAAGATTAGTAGCTAATTTGTATTGAAAATCTAAATAACTAAGGTATTTTCAATTTCAGAACTGTGTACCTATCAGCTTTATATCTATTTCAAGTAATTTCAGCTGTTCCAGTTACAAAACTTTCGAATTCCTATCATTTTCTCTTTTTATTAATTTGCTACTGAAAACCTGCCAGCTTTATTCACTATCGCCAACGAGTTTAAATAAAAACTACTCATTTATTTACAGTTTGTTAAAGACAATGTTACAAGAGCATGTCTCTCGCTCGTATATTTACTTGAGCCTTGTAACTAATGTAGGCTGTCCGGTGTATTTACCCTGACATGTGAATGACTTCATACAAAATGTATGTTACAGCGACGGTCAAAGGAAACAAAGCGCAAATTTATTTAACTACTCTTTTCTACACATAACCTAACATCACGCCTTTTATCCTAGAAGGGGTAGGCAGACGTGCACATAACAGCACTTAATGCCACTGTACAATATAACATCCACTTTTCACCATTTATATTATAAGTTCCGTGTATTAGGGGGAGAGCCTATTGCCATATACCGGGCACATTTCCAGATTCCGTGCTGCTACTGAGAAGTTCTTATAAAATCAGTAATAGGCCAGTAATACCCTACTTTGCCCAACCCGGGAATCGAATCCAAGACCCCTTGCCAGGCAGTCGCACATGCAACCACTCGGCCAACGAGACAGTCTCTAAGTAAATACTCTTTAAAAATAAAATCATAATAGTTAAATTTAAAAAAACTTGTCATTTCGTGTATTAATCAATTTAAGCGCATAATTTGAGCTGATAAGTTAACGGTTTTTTTTCTATGTCTATGAATCCCACATTATTGTAATCGCCGTTAATGATGGCTGAGAAGAATATATTTGTCACTGACCGTACTCTCCATGCCGGGTGTTATACATTTGGCAGAGATCTGTTAGTCGGTGTTGTCTCATATACCTAGAACTTTTTAAATTTAATTATAACTAACGGACCCAACAGACGTTGTTCTGCATATCCACTTGAATGTATTAACAAAAAATCATTCAAATTAGTTCAGCTGTTCAGGATAAATAACCTAAACATCGACTGACTGTGATTTGTGAATCTAAACCATTCCCAGATCCCCTTGAACACACACAAAAAATTTCATCAAAATCGGTCCAGTCATTTGAGAGAAGTTCAGTGACATACACTCACAGAAGAATTATATATATAAAGATAGTCAACTCTCCTGCACAGCGATAAGGCAAGTCTACACAGACATGCCTACGGAGAATGCCCATAGTCGATATAACTGTGGAAGATCACGTTGATGTCTATGGTGTAATGCAATAAATTCTAACCAAATAACTCTTCTTCTCTAGTAACAGGGAACAGTGAACCCCAGAAAAGTGATCTACCTAATTTTTTACCCCCAATCGACGAATATGCACAAATGTTTGCGAAAATCGTGATTATATTCCATTCAGCGTCCTTCTGTTTTTGCCGACCTTTTAAATTATTTTCACGAAGTCATTCTTCTGCCACTGTTTCACCCTTTTCAACCGGGATTTTTGTCAGATTGCTCATATTAAGTAGACATAAACACAGATTTACCTAAGACAGAAATAGTTTCTTAGCTTCGAAGCTTCTTCAGCTCCCGCCTTCGTTTGCATAGTCAAATCAAAAGAGTGGCCTATCACTTTGTCTCTAGACCCAAAAAACATAGCCATCAGACGACCACGGATGGGGTCCAATAGGGCTGATGCCGACACGAAGCCGCGGAGAACGTAGAAGGTTACCGGGGCTCCGGCTCGAAGTGAAGAAGTAGGAACGGGGTGGTTTTTTGTCAGTAAGAGTCTGATACTCCCTCCCGCATCACCCAGGCGGGAGAAGCCATTAGATGATTTTCCCTCCTTAAGAAAATAACAGACACAAAAGTCACGCCTAAAAATTTTCCATTGCGACGCGAAAGAAAGACAAACGAACCGACATACTTGCACATCTAGGTAGGTATACCAACCAGAATGAACTTAGTATTACTGTAAATCAAAACCATTGAATTATTGTCGTTATCTAATTGTTTTCTATACTAATATTATAAAGAGGAAAGATTTGTACCTATTTTTGTATGTTTGTAATGAATAGGCTCAAAAAGTACTGGGCCGATTTAAAAAATTCTTTCACCAATAGAATACTACATTCTTCCAATTTGACACAGGCTACATTTATATTGAAAAAAATTAGGGATCCTTGGTAAAATTTGAACAATGTAACCGAAGGTGTAGAAAAATGAGTATTAAAATGTCTTTCGTCGAATGCGCTGCCGAAACTATTATCGATAGAACAAAATAATGTACAATAATATAGAAGAACAATATAATGTCTACAAAAAACTCCGCGGTAGCATATGTCCAACTATTGTAGTTATGTCACTACAACAATCCAAATTTCCAAAAATAAATAATTGCTTACCCCGTGCGAAGCCGGGACGGGCTGCTAGTGTTCTATAATTAAGTAATTAACTGGGTGTTAAGTAGTTTACCTGACATAATACGTCTCATTTGTAAATAGATTGAAATACTTCGACAAAAAAAATCTAAAACAAGACGGTGCTAGTCAAAGTATAGCTTTGTTGATAGTATCGACTATAGATCAATAGAATAAAATAGTAGAAAGTCATATCTTACAAATTAATAAAAATCGCAGATAAATATTTTTCAAACCGAATAGAAGTTTAAAAAATTAAAGCCGAATTAATACATTATTCATTCTCGTGGTTTCTATTTTAAAAATTAATATTTAACACATTACATTTTACTTAATGATCAAAAATCTTTGTGTATTTCAGCATTATGTAGGCAAAGAGTTAACCCGTCGGCCGCGCGCGGTCGGTCTTTGCGGCGGGCGGCGACTTTACGGGCGGTGCTTATAATGCAACGCCTATCCGCAATGTGCAAGCCATTATCATATTCCTATGCAATATGCAACACCTTTGTTTACAAATTATTTTTCTAATGAATTTAACATTGTTAGAAGCAAGTGCCAGTTGGTCATCGTTAAAAGTTATCCAAATAATTTCTTGTGTAAAATTTTTTTTATTAAGCACTAAACGTAATTTTGTCGTTATTGTAATTAAAATTTGATTTAAATGAAGAGAATCAATTTATGGTTACTAAATTACATATTTCTAAACAATATAAAATAATTATAAATGTTCTTCTGGACAACTGCACTTACTTACGAGCTTTACAGAAATCCAGTAAATTCAGATATTTAAGTCCCGGTTCTAAGACTCCTAGAACTAGATAACCTACTGCTTCTGTTTGTAAGCTAAAGTATTAGTAAAGTGTTCAGCCTTAAAAGGTTCTTTTACAAACGAATTTAAAGAGTAGCTGCTGAAGCTCTCTTCTTCTGTAGCTTTTAAGGTTTGATAGAAAGTTCAGTATCGCTTTCATCAAATTTGTCTACAAATTCATACAAAAAGAAATAAAAAGTCAACTCCTTCAACTAAAGAATTTTTACCGTTTCACACATTAAAAAAAACCAAACGTTTTGTACTTACTAATAATAAAAGTTCATCTATAGAGATAAATAAACAAGTGTACACAGCACCTTGGAAAAAAACATAGTGTTAACTACTAAAAATTAAATTATCTGTATTAGAGACTGCGAACAGTTTTGAACACTACTAAAATAAGATGTTAAGTAAAGCTCACATACCGGCGCTTTCAATAGCTCCTGGCGACACTGGTACAGTCTCACACTCCCTCTCCTCTCTTCTCTGTTCAAACTCACTCTGCACTCTAGTAACTTGCCTCTGGCCATTCAGTCCTAAGATAGCGTCTATTGTATGCCTCGGGCCTGGATTAACACTCGTAGGCACTTGTGTCAAGCCTAACCTAGATTTCACCGCATCAAAACTTTGGTTAAGATGCATTTGTTGTGCGTGAAAAAACATTCCCATTCTGTTTAGTGTCTCTAAGTTCTGTTGGTGCTGGGAAAGCGATATGGATTGATCCGTCACATTGATAGAAGAGTTAGAGTTGGGACTACTCATTTGCGAGCGCGGACTGTTCGTGTCGGAGCGGTCCGGCGTCTGGTTGCCGTAATATCGGTCGTCGGGCGCGTCCATCTCGCAGCGATACGCGTACGTCACTGGCGCTCCGCAACTACTACTAGAGTCGGCGGGGAAGAAAGGGGCGGGGCCTATCGGAAGGGGGGCGAGCGAAATTGCCCATTGAAAGTGCGAAATTTGGGGTCGCGAAGTGATTTTGTTTGGTAAGAAGCAAGAAGCGGCGTATTAGCATTTTCCCCTCGGAGTTTCTTTGAACGGTATTGAGAGTTGGTGATGGTTGAATAGTTTTTTTTCTGTTTGATTGGGTCGATTGTGCTGGGTGTTAGAGTGTTGCCGGGAGTTTGTTAGCGATTTCTTTGAGGGTTCTCGATGCGTTCGTGGGTACTTACTCGCTTGTTGCTTCTTTGCATGTTTCTATACAATTTGATAGGTTGATGACATTAGAATAACTGAGAATAATATTTGAGTAGGCATACAAAGATTTTACCATTTTTTATTTAACATGCATTTGTCGACTACGTGATTTCATTTGTGTTATAAATGTAAGCTTACTTCGTTACAGGAGTGCATTACATGCAAAAAATAATTTTCAGATATAAATAATCTTTCACTAACCAAATGAAGGTAAATAAATGTTTGTTAATTGATTCAATGATCAGTTTTTGTGTACCTAAATTAAGCACGATCAAACTAAACCGCAAAAAACAATCTAAACGCATGCACGTACAGCGGCCAGTCCAAACTTCCAATTACCTAAATGCTAATGAACTCAATTCTAATTAATCACACTAATCAATACGGGGCCAATCAGACGCTACCTGTCTCAGCGGAGCGCGGGGCGAGGGAGCGAGAGCACCGCCGGACATCTGCCTGTTAACACACAAATTTAACCAAATCGGTTAACCCGTAACCAAACAATAACAGCTTTTCCAACTGACCAGACCAGTAAATGCACTAAGACTTATAACCACAACTACTTTCTGGTAAACTCAACTCTATTGTAAGGTTCTAAGCATGAAAATAAATTGCGGAATATTAGTGACTTGAGTCGTTAATACATGAATAATGGAACCGTCAATATAATTTTGTCTTCTTCACACTTACAAAGATCTCGCTCCCTCTCATCTCAGGTGTAGCGACGGTTGTTAGGGGGCGGGGCGCGCTGTGACGTCACACGTCGATCGACCAATCGTGTGTTGAATTTTGTTTTTTTCTTAGCGCGTCTTGTATTGTCGATGGGTTTCTTTTGTCCGGTGCGCTCAGTGATTGTTCGCGGCCGGCAGTTACACGGTTAACTTTAGGAATAACAAGGTCCTGCGCGGCGCCTACTGCAGATTACTACATTATGTTGCATTTTATGTTAGACCGTGTAATTATTGTCAGTAGATACAATTTAATAATATTATGTTCTTAAGATGAAATAACCATAAGTAAAATTAAATATAACATATATTACATTAATACAGGATTCGTTAATGGATACATAATAAATTGAATTTTAACTTATGAATGTTACCAGTTTTTTATTCCCAATTTATAAACATAGATAAAAAAAAAGTTATGAATTTCCAGGTATTTTTAAAAAAATGTTTCACAGATATTAAAATGTAGGTAAGTACATATATTATTATTTGGTTGCTATAACCAAAGAAGAGTAGATAAGTTAGACAGTTGTAAATCAGAATCTACAGTAGAGACCAAACATTTAAGCGACAAAATATGCCACCAAATATTAAGAACAACTTCTTCTTCAGCTTCTTAGAAACAAAAATAAAATTAATCAGAAGAAAATAAACAGTAATTCAATATCTACAGCCCATTTTTGTCCACTGCTAGACAAAATATTCTTCAAATAGTATGACATTCAACTACATATTGGTGATTTAAAACAAATTAATATTTTTTAAACCTTAAACCAAAGGAGATTAAAAGCATTACATGTCTGCATAACCGTACATTACGTAGCACGGTACACCGATACATTATACTGATTGAAGCTGAATATTTAACGCGGCCGCCACTACAACGTACCTCTTCATATAATTGAGTGCACGCGAATGCTACAATTGAATGACTTTTAATTGCACATTCCCTGTTTTTATGCCCATAATGTTGCCACACTGCAACTCATCATTATGTCGTAGACTTTCAATTTTTACGCTGACAACCCTAGCTAATGGATTGTTCCAATCAAGTTCCTAGTATCAATCAATTTGTTTAATGATTGGATTTAGATCTAGATAGTGCATACAGTAGTGTTTTATGTAGGGCTTTGCATGTTCCGTTGCACTAATTGATGGCGCCCTAATTAGGTAAATTGGTTGTATTATTGATTGCTTATTACATATTAAACAAAGTAAATAACGTACAAAACAATGTTTATTATTTCAGGGATAGAATAACAAATTTGCAACATGACTGACTGAAAAAGAGAGTAGAAGAAGATGAGCCTACTGAACTCTAAAATAATTAAAGTTACTAAATAACCGTTCGACGAGGTAACTCGACTAGTTTCCAGCACCAAATGGAGCCCATGCGTTATGTTCGATAACCATTGCACAAAAACGTGTTATTTAGGTAATACATTAACTTTATCATATTGATAGATCTGAAGGATGATCCTAGAAACTAAGCAACTTCGACAATTCGATTCTAAGTGCCAAGTTCGCAGTAGTCAAAGAAAATTCCAGAAATCAAATTATTCAATAAGTTTATCTAAAGTTAAGGTTAATAAACAAAAATATTGAACTTTTTCTCTTCTTCCTTTTAAAGAGACCACCTTTATTCAATAGTGAAATAAAAATGTAAGTGTGGGAGAGCCATGCTTCGACACGAATCGGTCGGCTCGACCGGAGTGATACCACGGCCGAGCATACAACCGACGTGAAACAACGCTTGCGTTGTGTTTCGTCATGTGAGTGAGCTTACCGGAGGCACTCACATTTCTAATCCCCAATGGCCAGTAATGGAACAAACAAAAAATGTTATAAGATGTGTAACTAAAACGACTATTCGTTGACATTCGTAATGTTACTTAGAGTAGAACCCGATACGACATAACTACCCTTGACAGTACCAGAAAAACATTTCATTTAAAGCGAAAACCAATTAAAACTCTCCGAGGCAACAGACATAAAATTACTCATTCAAACCTGTATAACAAGACTAAATATAATAACGATCGCTAATGGTGGATTGATGGTTAAATTAAGCGAGTTTGCGCTAGATTGATTGGGATAAGTGTGGGGGCGAGTTAGGGGTGTAGAGGGGGTGAGGGGGGCGCAGTAGACCCGGGACACGCTAATCTACTACGACCATATAACAATTTGTTGACAGTGATGGGTTATGTCGATGTGAGTAATTAGATCATAGGGTTCGGGGAGCTCCGGGACATTTAACGAGCGTTTAGATGTTCATTATTTTCTGTTTTATGCTGTTTGTTCTGTCTCGTAGAGTTAAGATGCAGTGTTAGAAGAACGATGAATCTTGATCAATTTTGGAAGTTTTACTTACAATAATTAGAACATAATTATATTCTGGATGTCAAAGTAACAATCTATAGAAATGAACCAACAGATGTCGTGCCTGACAGAAATTATAAATTCAGATTAATATTGATCTCGTAAAATTTCTAATATAGATACGCACTGAAATAAATATTTTATTTATTTTGGGGAGTATCACTTTAGGGCGAATGACTGATTTTATTGACACACATGTCTTTGATAAGCCTTTTTTAGTTAAATTAAAGATGAATACTTCAACTAGACGTCAAATTGATCCTAATACATTCCTTCACCTCTATATCGATATTGGCCCAACTCTACGCTACCTGGCGGCTGACAGCGACCTCTGTAATTGTTGAATGATCCAGCATTAAAGCGCCAATTAACCAACATTGATTGGTTTTGAACAACCCCCCTCTCCCCGCCCCTCCTTCAACCCGTCAGCTCCCTTCGTGACCCTCGCTGCGGTCCCAGATAATTCTGGATTAAAGGGCTAGCGTGGATCATTGCAGTAGCCATATTAACTCGAGAATTTAAGTCAAGCGTGTGAACGTCTTAGTTATGTATAATTGCTAGACAAATGTATGGAATACATACATACGGATAAATACTGATAATATACTTTTTGTGTAAAAACTTTTCCACGTGCGTATGCGTGTCTTTTAATCTCGAGTTTTCTACTATTCTTGGCTGACAAGCGACTCAACACTAAGCGTCGGTTTCACCACCTCTATATAAGTACTTACCTGATAAACTTATGTGATACATAGTTCATACAAATTACGTTCTTAACTCGTCGAGTACCGTCATTATAGACACAATTATAGAACAATAGGTTGCGATCACCGGTGACCGCTTAGTGTTTGACAGTTTAATTCAAATTTATCTGGTAGATAACGGCTATACAGAATATTGTGAAACAGGCCCTACACCTACCAAAACACTTTAAACTAGAAACAGGTACAAAAACACTCGTTACGTAGAAACTTAAATATCTATTACTTAGTACTATGTAGTTGCTAAGCAATAGCTTAGTATTATTTTAATTCTAGACGTCTAGATAACAAATGAATATCTAGGTAACCATTATGTCTTAGCCTAGAATTGTATATGAATAAATGGCTTTATTACTCTTTGTTAACAGTTTGTAGACAGTAAACTAATTTTAAACCATTTAGCAACTACAAATAGAAACAGAATATTAATCATCTATATACAAGGTGTCCCTAAAATTGACGTTCGAATGGCACCAGGTGATCGGTAAGGTTCCAACAGTTATAAAAAAAAATGTAATATAACTTGTAAATTACAGTGTTTGTTACCCATAAGTAAGTTAACCATCTGCCAGTGTTTTGACTCCTGTTGCTACATAGGTATCTTAATTTTATCATCTTTAATTTTAATG